GGCTTTCCAGACGAGGTGTGCGTGTGTCGTCGCCAGACACAAGCATCGGCAAACGGGAGGTGGGCTGGGGGGCATGTGAGAACGTGCATGCCACTCCACAACCCCTTCCTCACCACGTCGCGGGTGCTCTTCCTTGTGGGCAGGCCTCCACGTGTGACGACCACTGTCAGGGTTTTTGCATGCATGCCGTTGTCATCGACACCCGCTGCTGCTATGGTAGTTGTCGCAAAATCCCACCTTGGGTTTTCCTCGCAAGCATCATTGCCGTTGTCATCGTCTTGGGTGAGGCGGTGCTGCTCTTCTCGATCTTAGGGTGTGTGGCGGCTATCTTCTTTTGTTGGTGTCACTGGAGGTAGTTCGGAAGGGGTGCTCTGAGAGAGAGAGAGAGAGAGAGAGAGAGAGAGAGAGAGAGAGAGAGAGAGAGAGAGAGAGAGAGAGAGAGAGAGAGAGAGATGCCTTTTTTATTGGCGGGTGCAGCAGGATGGATTCCAGTCGATGGAGGACAGATCTCTCGACGGACAATGATGGGGGATTCCAAACGCAAGACGACCGTCTTCGCGGACCCGTGTCGTGCTTTTCGCCATCAACACCGGTGGTTCACTCCTTCATCGGCCAGTCGTTTGAGGGGGGTCAAGGCTTGCCGATCCATATACCACGGACCTTTGTCCCTACTTTCGCACATCAACATGTGGCAGGGGCACGTGGACGGTTCCCTCGATGGTCGTCTATGCAGAGTATGCCTGAAGGAGCCATGTACATGGGCCATGGTCCCCTCCCAAGTCCGGTTGCTGACAGATACGGCACACCGGCTCTTCATTCCTTTCAGGTCGGCAGTAGATTCGGCATTCCAACACATGACCTCCCCTCCCAGCACAATGTTGACAGGGGCAGCGCGATGAGGACTGATCGACCATGGTTCCCGCAGTGCGGGCAGACATTGCAGCAAGTGCACATTGCAATGGCCAGCCCGAGTCGACCATCGGCCATACGCACGCCTTGTCATCAGGCGCCTTCAATGGGCGACTATGTATCACTCGCGGTCATGACTGCAGGCCTTTTTACCGCACGCGGTCAGGATCCGGACTGCGCGGGCCGACCGCCCGCGGCCAACTGCGGGCAAGAACCCCCGATAATTTTTTCGGGGTTTAAAAATGGGCAATTTTTTTTTTTTTTTAAATGGGCGTGTAAATAGAAAAAAACTCTACAGGCCTGTGTTTAAAAAAAAAAAAATTGGAACATTTTAGAACCACCAGTACCTCCGAGCCTGTTTTTGCCGACCCTGAATTTCACTGCGCTTCGAGTTTACCGAACCTGGGTAGCACTCCGTTTTCTTTCTGGTACTCTCACGGAAAGAACAAAAAAACACAAAAAAGAAGAAGAAAAGTTGCGGCCGTGAACCTCAGAAAAGAAGAAGAAGAAAAGAAGGAAACAAAGCTTTGACCCTAATTGCAATTGTATACATTCTTGGAAGTGGTATGTGAGTGTGCCCTCAATGAGGGCATCTCAGCCCCGTGGCCAGGTTGTCAGATTCCAAAAAGAGAATATAAAGGGGAAAAAACGGGCACATGGATCCGACTGTGAAAATGGTTGGATACATTCCCCTAAGTGTCAGTGTGATGAGCCTTTCAATCCTCTGACAAAACACAGCTTGAGCAGATCACGGACAGCTTGAGCAGATCACGGACAGCTTGAGCAATTCATGGACAGGGGACTCGTAAGAAACACACGACCAAGAAAAAAAAAAACAGTAACATTCAGAATGTGACCGCCTTACCTGTAAGGCTGTAAGGTGCATTCTGTGGAGGAAGATTGTGAGCACGGCCTCCTAGACTACCCAGCCCGACGTTTTTGCAGTAGAGAAAGCATTTTTTTTCCCCCTTTTTCCGTTCACTTGCGGCACCATAAAATTCAGATTTATGGGACATTGTCGGCCCTGTGTCATACCCCCGAAAAGTTCGGATACTGGCCAAGACATCGTAATTTCCCAACACTGGCAGAGGTACTGGTGGTTTAAGGAAGGGAAAAAAATAAATAAAGAAAATCGAAAAAAAAAAATAAAAAAAAATAAAAGTGCTGGTCCGCTGATGATTTTTTTTTTATTATTATTTTTAGTGTGTTGGGCCGGTGAAAAAACACTGGCCCACACACACACACAAGCACACACAATCAATCAATCAATCAATCAATTTGATTACTTGATTGATTGATTGTGCATGTGTCCGTGTGTGTGTGTGTGCGTGTGTGTGTGTGTGCGTGTGTG